TAAAATTGTAATACTATATACTTGTATGCTGATAACATTTGTTATTTTGTATTTTGTATCTTGTATCTCTTCTAATTGCAGAAGTCAAACATGACGTTAGTATTACAATTTTAATACAGTTTTTCCCTTCTTTTTTTTTTTTATTAAATCATAGCTGTGTACATTAATGCAATCACGGGGTACAGTGTGGTGTTTTCATACACATCTTGAAATACTCTCATCAAACTGGTCAATGTAGCCCTCATGTCATTTTCTCAATTATTGAGTTAAGACATTCATACTCTGCTTTTAGAAAGATTCACTTGTACCCTTGTAGAATAAACTATAGAAGTGACCCCTCCAATCACCCTCCCTCCACCCATCTACCCCCCTTCCCCTCCCCTCTCCCTACCTCCTCTCCTTATTCTAAGGCTATAATTAGGTTATAACATTCCTATGAAAGCTATAAATTAGTTTCAAAATAGGGCTGTGTACATTGGATACTTTTTCTTCCATTCTTGAGATACTTTGCTAAGAAGAACATTTCCCAGTTCCATCCATGTGAACATGAAGGAGGTAAAGTCTCCATCCTTCTTTAGGGCTGCATAATATTCCATGGTGAACATATATTACAACTTATTAATCCATTCATGGGTTGATGGACACTTGGGCTTCTTCTATGATAGTTTTTCCCTTCTTAAAATATGTATACATGTTTCAGCACCCTCTGTGTGTATGAATGTTTATTTATTTATTTATTTTTTATTGGGGATTCATTGAGGGTACAAAGAACCAGGTTAAATTGATTGCAATTGTTAGATAAAGACCCTCTTATATGTGTTTAAGTAAGTTTATACATATAAATAAATAAATTGTTTAAAAATTTATAGATTCAAATTAGCCAAACAACTTTAGAAAAGTAAATTTAGAAGGCTCATAATATCTGGTATCAAACTTACTACTATTCTACAGTAATCAAGACAGTGAGGTATTGGCTAATGGCTAGACAAACAAATCAGTGGAATGTAACAGAAACCAGAATGTTTTTAAAAAGTCAATTCTCTCCAAATTCGACACAATAGCACTTGTATTGAATAGTAAAGAGATCCATGTTTTTACCATCATATTATTTTTAACTAGAGTGTCAAATCAATCCAATTAGGAAATGAAAATCTTCAAGAAATGGTATTGGAATGGTTAAACATATAGAGAAAATAAAGTTCAACCCTACTTAACACAACAAACAAAAATTAATTCAAGATGAATCATAGTCCCAAACATAAAAGTAAAAAATATTAAAATTCTAGAGGAAATCATAGGATACTATTTTCATATTTTAGAGGCAGGTGGCTATCTCTTAGAGGGTACACAAAAGCACAAACTTTAAAAATAAATGACAAATACAATGTTCTTAAAATTCAAAATTTCTGCTCATCAACACACTATTATGAAAAGGCAGACCACAGTTGGGGTTAAAATATTCACAGTACACATGTCAGAAAAAGAACTTTGTATCCATATTACACATACAGTATATAGACATAAATATATTCACATACATGAAATGTTTATATGTATATATATGTGGAAATCAATAAACTACAAATGAATAATAAAGACAACTCAAAATTATGAGTTGTTTATATACAGTATATGAGAATATATACATATATATGACTTATATGAGACTATATATGCACACACACAAATTTCACAAATGAATAAACTCCTATCATTTAATAAAGGAAAGATAACTCAATATGAAAATGAGCAAACAAATAGTTACTTTACCATAGATGATATACAAATGGGCAAGGAACACATGGAAAGGTGCTTCGTATCATTAGTTATCATGGAAAACTCTTTAGCATCTTCTTGTAAAGTTAAATGTGCATCAACTTTATCACACAATAATTTTACTGCTAGCCATTTACCTAAGAGAAATAAAAAGTATATCCACAAAAAGATGGACCAAAGAATGTTTGTAGAAACTTTATTCTTAATAGTCCTGGCCTGTACTCCTAGCACTTGGGAGGCTCAGGCAGCAGAATTGCTTGAGCCCAGGAGTGTGAGACCAGCACAAGCAACATATCCAGTCCCCCACTCCCATGTCTACTAAAATAAAAAATCTAACTGGGTGTGGTGGTGCAACTGCAGTTCTAGCTATTCAGGAGGCTGAGGAGAAGGATCGCTTGAACCCACGAATTCAAGGCCAGAGTGAGTTGTGAACATATGACTGCACTGCAGCCTGGGTGACACAGGGAGACCCTATCTCTTTGAAAAAAAAAAATAAAAGAAAGAAAGAAACTATTCATAACAGCTCCAAATTGCCAAATTTACAAACAATGGATATATTCATCAGAGCAAGTAAACGATTTTGTGACTCTTACAATGTTATAAATAAATTTAAAAATATAGTATTAAAAATAAAGCCATGCAAAAGGCATATAAAAGATGCCGCACATAATCTGTCATCAGGGAAATGGAAATTTGAAACAACAGTGAGATCCATGACACACTTAGTAGAACGGCCAAAATCCAGAACACTGACAGCACGGAAACCCGGTGAGGATGTGGAGAAAAAGGAACTGTCTCTGCTGGCGGGAATGCAAGCTGGTAAGCCACTGTGGGAGACAGTTTGGTGGTTTCTAATAAAATTAAACAGACTGTTACCACATTGTCCAACATTTGTTCTGCTTGACACTTGCCCAAAGAATTTGAAAAAATCATGTCCACACTAAAACCTGCACATAGATCTTCCTAACTGTCAAACCTTGGAAGCAGCCAGGATTCCTGGTAGTAGGTAATAAGTAAATAAATTGTGGTAAATCCAGACACTGGAATATTATTCAGTGCTAAAAAGAAATGAGCTACAAGTCACTGTGTGAAAGGAGAAAATCTAAAAAGCCTACTGTACCCTGTATGGTTACAACTACAGGGAATGGAAGTAGCAAAACTACGAAGACAAGAAGCATATCAGCATTTCCCCGGAGTTGCAGAAGGGAAAAATGGATAGGCAGAGCACAGAGGATTTTTAGAGCAGGGAAAATACTCTGGGTTATTCTATAATGGTGGATACATGTCATATATGTTTGTCCAAATACCATAGGATGTACAACTTTAACGCAAACTATGCTCTTGGGGTGATCATAGGCCAATGTATGTTTACTAATTATAACGAAAATAATTATAGTCACTCTGGAAGGGGGTGTTGATAATGTGGGGGTGGCTGTGCATGTGTAGGGGCAGGTGGTGTTTGGGAAATCTCTGTATAGTTTCCTTTCAATTTTGCCATTAACCTAAAACTGCTCTAAAAGACAGAATTGTAAGAAAAAAGCCATGGAGAGCAGTAAGATATGACAGAGATATGTTCAGAGAGTGCTTATCCAAGAGAGGAAACAAATGAGAAGGGGTCCTCTTCTGTGACGATAGCCCTCTGAGGGCTCTAGCAGTGGTTCTCGACCTGCCTAATGCGGCGATGTATTTTCATTGTTATAAAGGGGTCACGACCCACCAGTTGAGAACCACTGCCTAGGGGAAAGTGAAATTAAGGGGTCACAGTACACTTTTGCGGGAGGATCACATCGTCCAACTCAAGCAACAGCACATCTGGTACAGTGGTTCTCAATGTTGGCTGCAACTGGGAATCACTTGGGAAGCTTTTATTTTGTGCAGTTTTTGGCCAGGGCTGGGTTTGAACCCCCCCACCCCGCTCCGCCCTGCCACCTCTGGTGCCCTACTCCTTTGAGCCACAGGCACGACCCCACCTGGAAGCTTTTTAAGAAAAGATGCCTGCATGTCACCTCCAGACATTTGATTTGATTGTCTATCTGTGGCCTGGGCATTGAGATTCTTAAACGCTCTTCAGGTAATTTTAAAGTGGAGCCAAGAGTGAGGAGTGAGGACCACTGCCTTTGAAGGTAGCGTAAGACAACTTTATTGTCCACCACAGAAAGGAAGCCAGATGAAGTTGCCGATGTCATAGCCATTGGAGGTAAAGAAAGGCTAATGTTTTTAGGGAAAGTGAGAGGAAGGATTGGCTCTATCAAAACCAAATGCCTGAGAGGAGGATGAAGTTCTCTGGCAGCACCCACAGCGGGCAAAGTTAAGAGCATTGGTGGAGACCTGCTATGACTTTGATGCCTGTAGCATTTAAATGTCTGATACACCTTGTTCCTTCATGTGTCTTTCAGAGCCTGATTTGAGGAATGCCTTCCTGGCTAGGGTCTAATTGCAGGGAGACAGAGTATGCTGGCCTACCTTTCAGCTGGGGTATTTTGGTGCTTTCCCCAACTAGATGGACCAGGCAAAGCACCATCTTTGAAGGCAAACTGAGCAGAGCCAGGAGGTTCACAAAAGGCTGACATCCAGGGCATGTACTGAGCAAGTATTTCCTTCCCTTCACTCATTGCAGAGCAGGTCAAAGTGAACCGTTGTATATCCAGACAAAATAACCCCTATCTCCTGGTAGGAATTTTAATGTGGTATTGCTTGAAGTAGAAGTTATGACATAATTGATTTTTCAAGTTTGTCTTTTTGTATCTTATGTTTCCAAGAAAACCGTGGAGTTTGAAGAGGGACATATAATTGCCATAGCAGTGAATATTTTCAAATACTATGTTAGCATGAGTTTTGAGAGAGAGGTTTAGCAGTCATGTTAAAAGCCAAACATATTATTTTGTGATTTAGAAATTATTTCAGAAGAGGTGATTTCCCGTGGTTTGCCTTATACCAAGCAATAATAATAACATATAGCATACAAAGTTTTTACACTGAATATCTTGCCTTTCTGTTTTGTTTATTTTATCAGACAAACCTAGGATAGCAACACCACTGTGCTTGTCTAGGTCAGGAATAGAGCTGTAATTATGTTAGTTTTCAATGGGTGAGAACACTGATGAAAAATAGAGAGACTTTCAGTTATGTTTTACAGACTAAATTGAAAGCCTTCCTAAAGAATTAGAGTCGTATTCCTGAGGAATTGGAGGTGTATTCATGAAGAGCCCATTTCATATCTGTTCTCAGCAAGGTGTCCTGGGACCTGGCTTGTAGTTGGCTCTTACCTTGAGGATCCTCTTAGCCCAGAGGAGAAAGGCCTGCATGGCTTGCCTCAGTTTGGCATTGCTGGAGATCAGGACGGCCGCGTGTCCAGAGGGACATGCTGCCATTATCCCAACACAAACCATTACCCCTATCTTGTTCTGCCACAGCATCAGTAAGGGCACTGAGATGATGGCAGCACAGAATGATACCACATAGAAGCAGAGGAAGGATAAAAGAGATTTGAGGGCTGTGACATGGGCCTCCAGGCTGGGGTCGCAAGGGTTTCTGAGATGGGCCTTCATTGTCCTCATGTGCCTCCCCAGAGAGACAATCAGCATCCCAGAAGAAACCAGGAATAAAAGAAAAGCGGGGGTAGACCCCAAATAGCAGAAGAGAAATGAATAAAAGAAGTTGAGTTTTGTAATTTGCAACTTGAGTTCTGTATTATTTTTCGTGAATGGCATAGTTGTGGCTGCTAAGTGAGATCTTCTAAAGAAGTCCCAAAAGCAGAGGACAGTGCAGATGCAGGAGGAAAGAAGAACGCCCAGGATCATCTGGGAGGTCCTCCTGGAGACCCAGCTTGCCAAGCAGAGCAGGAAGGTTTTGGAAAAATGGACAATCTTGGAGCAGTAGAGGAGACTGAGGCAGGTGGCGAACCAGAGGCTGGCTTCATTTACGATCATCCAGAGCATGACAATGGTTTGGTAGCTGTGGTTCAGTGGCTCTTTCATATTCTGGAAGCAGGCAAGTTGGATGGCCTCCAGAAACAACAGCCCGTGCAGGAAAAGCCGGGTGATGCTGAGGCACAGCAGTATCCGATCACAGCTGCTCAGGGGCCGTCTCTTCAGCACATCCCAAAAATTGACTAAGAAAATGAAGACATTGGCCAGAAGCCCCACTGCAAACTCCAGGACTGAAATGAACAGAAATGCATGCTTGACTTCGTAGGACACAGTTAAGACCGGCGTCAGAGTCAACATTATGTCTCTTCTTTAGTCGGCCAATCTATTTAGGATTTATGTACCACCGGGTGGAGAAGGTATGTGCACACCCTCAGCCGGACCTTTCCTTCAAAGAAGCATCCAGCTGTTGCCCTAAATCTATTCCAAAGTACGTGCTTGAAATGTTCTGGCAGGAAACTTAGAGGGATGTGGTTGCTTTAGAATATCTCCTGGATAGACACACAAGGGCTTATCATAAAAGTGGAAGATGGATGATTTTATCTCTTGGGTAATGCAGAGCTTTAAACAAATCCAGGTGTTCCTGTATGGAAGCCTCCCCAGAAGGCCACAGCACAGTGCCATGGATGCAAACAAGATAGGGTCTCAGTTTCCCAGGTCCAGTTTTGCATGCCCATCTGGACCAGAGTGGGTGGAGAAGAGAATAGTATTTGCTTATGGGTTTAAAGAAACTGGCAGCAGGCAAAGCAGATCCCAGTAATCTAAGGTTTGAAAAGGTGTCTTTTTCCATTTGCATCACTTCTCTCACCTGTGAGGCACGATTCTTTTCAGAGTATACATTTAACATGAAGGAGTACAAGGTTCCTCCCCTCACACCAGCATCTGACTCGAGTTTTAGTTGCAGTTGTCAAAGATTTCATTTAACCATCATCATTATGCCAGGCACTGTGATTGACAGAGGAACATTAGTATGGAGAAGACCAGCACCTTCCCATGAAGAGGGGCATATCTGGCCTGGATTATGACAGAGATTTTAAGACTGCTCTCTCTGCTTCCCACTCCCTTACTCCATTTTCCATAAACCAACAATAGTAATTCTGATAAAATGTGGCTTAAATTATGCCATTGCTTTTTTTTTTTTATTTTTCAGAGCCTCTAATCTCCCTTGGTATAAAGGCTAAGTCCCTGCAGTGGTCTACAGGTCTCACATAATCAGAGCTTCTGTTCCTTTTCAGATATCAGCTTCCTCCCTCCCTCGTGTCACCCACATTGACCCCTCTCCTGTCTTGTGCGCTTGCCAAGAACCTGTCTACTGTGGGACCATTGAACTTGTACTTCCCACTCCCTGAATTGCTTTTCCTTTACACACTAAAATGTTTCACTTTCTTCTTCAAGAGTTCTCTTTATCAGAGACTCAGCTTATCAGTGAGCCCTTCCCTAACCCTCCAATGATTGTCAACCCTTACTCCACCATGCGTGAATGTTATATGTATTTAATCTGTTTTATATTCCTGCATATATTCAATTATTTCTTAGCTATACCCACTGCCACTAAAAAATGTAAGCTTTAGGAAGGAATTTATTAGATAATCAACAAATATGATTGAATGAATACAATTTTCATGAATGAAGCACTTAGTACCTCTAACATCCCATGGATGATATCTATAATATAATGTTACATTGTATTTGACATGCCAGGGATTATATTCTGACACACATGGCTATAATTTAGGAAGTCTGGCTTTCTTCCTTTTTGTGTATTTCCTAATATTTGTTGAGCTTGGCTAGTTACTCAACCAAGATGGGAGAGCTGATTGTTTAGACACTAGATGTTGTTTTCTAGCTTTTATAAAAACCCGGTGCTTATTTTCCACTCTTACAAATGCTCGCCACTTTTCCAGTTTTTTTTACAGTTGCCCTTTATGTGTCATTCATTCACTTACTCATTTGGGAGGCTGAAAGGAGAAGTTGCATGGGACTGCCTTTGGTTTGCTTTGTCGTACGACGTTTCCTCCAAGTATGGGGCTTTCCCATGTTTGCTCATCTGCAGCTCAGCCTAACGCTTCCCTGGCCCTTTCTACTAGCTCTTCACAGCCTCGCTCTGGGTCTTCTGCTTCCTCTGTGTGTGCTGTGTGTTGAGAGCATGGGCTCTGAAAGCAGGCTCTCTCGAGTTATGGACTGGTTCTGTCATTTAATCTCTGTGTGACCTTGACAAATGGTTGAGCCTTCCCTTATGAAATGGAGACGATCAGAGCAACACCAACATCAGGGGATGACCTAAATTAACACACATGGCATGCTTGCCATTGTGTATAAGGTATTACAAGTGTTCTGATGTGTTTGTCCTGAGTTCTTCACCTTGTCCTTTCCTGCATCTCGAATTCAAGAGTTATCTGCATTGCTTATTTTGTGTCTGTAGATGCTTTCTCTTTTTAAAAAATTTTTTGACTAATACTCCTATTTTATTACAAGTAGTGACAGAAATCAGTGATTCCTAAAAATGTTTATTCCTGTTTTAGTCTGAACTCCTTATATAAATGGATAGAGACAGTTGTGTGGTCTTTCATTGCACATAATCACATAGCATTACAGTTATATTTAATTCATCGTATCTGTGATCACTTCCTTTGAGTCATTCATTTTTGCAGAATGACAAGCACTTGAGATGCTGAGCCTAACTTTTAACTGAAGCTAATTTTCTCTTCCTCTTTGCCACAGCAGGTGGCAGCCTTGTACTACCGGTGTTCGGGAAAGCTGTTCGTTTCCTGATAGTCTAAATGGAAACCACTTGTTCTGCTGCATGAGCTGAGTTATATAACCACAGAGTTAGAATCATTAATATCAAAATCATAGCTTTTCATACAAATAATCAATAAAATCCTTGCTCTGTGTTATTTTTGGAGCATCAAATTCCCCAATAATCTTTCACTAATCAAAGGCTCTTTCAGAGAAAAATGGCACAGACACCCTTTAATAGTTCCCCTCCATTTGACTTATGTACACACAGCCTTTGGGATTATATAAACAATTTCCTGTGTACTTTAGCAACTGGCTTTTTTTAAAAAAAAACTGGTTTACTCAGGGTTTTGAGAAAAGCAAAATCAATCTCAGTGCTAATAAAAGTAGTGGTAGTAAACTTTACTTCATCCATATGATAAAAAATTGTAGTCCCTTGGATTTTGGAAATAAATGCTAAAAGTTTATGTAATCTATATAAATATGTATTTATATTTTTGCTGCCATTTATTTTGGGATATTAGAATTAAATCCTTTGAATTGAATTTTTTAAATTACTTTTGCTTAGCTTGACAGAAGAACACTATTTCCAGTAATATCAAACCTCATTTCCTTAAAATACTTTGCTTATATTCCCAATGACTTGATAGATAGATATATTAAAATGTATTTAGTAAGAACGAAATATATCCCAGATGATGTAATGGGCACTGCAGCCACACTGGTAAACAAAGGGGTACAAGAGCCCCAGAATAGCACAGGAATAGCACATATCTAAGGTAGGGTGAAGAGGGGTGTTGTCCAGAGAAGTCTTCCTAGAAGTGATGTTGAGGTCGAGAACTTGAGGCTGAGAGACTGTACAATATACGATAGATGGAGTCACCTTGGTAGGATGTCATAGTCACCTTAAAGTTTAAAGACAAGATGAGCAACAATCTAATCTAACAGAAGTTAATGAATATCAGATACAATAAATTAGTTCCAATTCATTTTATGAATATGGAAACATGATTGTCAGAAGACTTGCAATTTGAAAAGTAAGCTGTAATTTTGTTTAAAATGATAAGCTTTGTTCTAAATGGCATTTAGAATCACAATCTATAAAACGTTAGATACATATAATTGCATATGTAGCCGGGATAGACAGAAATCATAATGTGAAATGTATTTCTACATGTTGTAAGTCCCCTCACACCTCACTAGGAATGCCATAAGGATCACACCAGAGACAAGACGTTGATATAAAAACAGTGACAAAATTCTAAAAGGCAGAGATACAAAGGGACCCTCTCAACCCACTACAAAGTTGGGCAAATAGAAATGCCTTTACTCTCAGAAAATTACACACACACACACACACACACACATATTAGGGATTCGAAGGGAGAGAAGACAGTTCTTTTGGAAAGGATTCTGTGAGCCTAAGAGTTATGTGAGCAGAATGTTGTCATTCCCCTATGGTCTCCTTTGAAAGAAGTGGGAAGGGGCTATACTAATAACTGCTGAAATCTGGGGTATACTGAACAGAGGTGGAGGATGTGAAGGCAGGAGGTTTGTGGAAGCTAATACTGTAGCTTCACACCTTAAGGAACAAGAAGGCCACACTCTAAAGTGATGAGAAGGAAAGGGCAAAGACCTTGGCGTCTCAGTCCCCTAGGTGTCAGGAAAGGAAGAAGACTCACTGTTCTGGGACACAGTGAGAAGATCCTGGGGGTCAGGGGCTGTTTTGGTGGTGAGGTAGGATGTGCACTAGAGGGAGACCCCAAGAGAAGTGGTGGAGACCCCTGAAAGAAGAGGCAGTCTTCCGAACGTAGGATACAACTAAGCATAGCCAAAGAAAAATCTGAGCACCATGTGTCATGAAACTGTCTCATATCAGCTGAGTATTAGCCTAACGCAGATAGAAATGGCACCTGCCACCTACTCTGCTGACAATCAGGCAGCATCCTGTTTATACCAATTCCTGTTACCCTTCCATTCCTGAACGGGATATGAGAAGCAAAAACCACTCAGCTGATTCTGATGCATGCTTACGTTTGACAACCACTAGGATATAAGGAAGAAGGAGATTTCCTAGGACCTTAGCAATAGCCACACTTCACAGTGACTGGAATGTCAGCTGGATACTGGAACTTCTTTCAGGATCCATGATGTTTTCATAGCCTCAGGAGTTAATTGTCATTGATATGAATGCTTCACTGTATATGAGATTTAGACTCCTTTTAGGAATTGAATGCTTTTAGATCATATATAATCAAGAGTCTTAGGAAATCCTCCAATACAACCATAGCAATTACTTCTGTTACATGAGAACAACAGCAGTGGGAGGGGGTTATGTAGGTAGTACCCTATTGAAAGTGAAGCCTGCACTCAAAGCTCCCAAGGCAGAGCTGTTGTACTAGTTGAATTGGAAGGTGGAGTAGACTCAGGCACAGTCCACACACTCATGCCGTCCATCCTTGATAGATAGTGCCAAGTGCCTATGCAATATTAATTCTCTCTTCCTCATTACCAACAGAACCCCTGTGTTTATGGGCATGTCAGTGTTTCTAACTAAAAAT